TTCCTTGGTCTTTGCAAGAAATTTCTTGCCTCTTCAAGTGGTAATTCTTCTGAATGACAGAATACAAGTATTGGAAGGGACCTTGAAGGTCTTCTAATCCAACCCCCTGTTCAAGCAGGAGGGCCTATATCAAGGGTAGGCAACCTTGGCTCTTTTATGACTCATGGACTTCAACTCCCAGAATTCCTGAGCCAGCTATAAAAGAGCCAAGGTTGCCTACCCCTGGCCTATATCATTCTGGACAAATCACTGTCCAATCTCTTCTTAAAAACCTCCCATGATGAAGCACCCACAAATTCGGAAGGCAAGCTGTTCCATATCTATTGATTTGTTATTTCCCAGTGTCTAAAAATGTTAAGCACCTGCATGGCAAAATGGCAGAGAGTGAGAGTGAGAGAAGCAGAGAGAGAAAAAGAAAAAAAGAAGGGAGGGAGGGAGGAAGAAAGGAGATAGAAAGAAAGAGACACAGAGACAGAAGAAGAGGGAGGGAGGGAGGGAGGGAGGGAGGGAGGGAGGAAGGAAGGAAGGAAGGAAGGAAGGAAGGAAGGGAAGGAGGGAGGGAGGAAGGAAGGAGACAAAAGGAAAAGGAAGGAAGATGAGAAAAGGAAGGAAGGAAGGATCTGTATTAGTGCTCCCAGATCCAGGCTGTAAAATTAAAGTATTTCCATCTATCTCTAGATAGTTGCAGTCAAAATGTAGCAACCTGCTCGCACATCTCCACTGCAAATAAAGAAATATCCCCCCACAAATACTGACCTTGCCATCTTGTTACGGACTTTGTTAGCGAAAAGGACGGGGTTTTTCTTTTCTGCCTCAGATGGGACATGAACAGGAAGAAACTGAAAAATAAGGGCAACTTCAGTGAAAAATGCATAATGGTCCAACAGTGTTAATTCATTTCTCAGCCAGGGAAGGTAATTCTGTCTGCCACAAGAGGGGGCTACACACTTAAGAAAGAAAAACCCGCTGCTTCAAAAATGAGGTTTTATTTTGCACCATGTTGAGAAAACCTCTTTGAATTAAAACACAAAACAGACAAAAAGTGTCTTTCTTTCTTTCTTTTTCTTTCTTTCTCTTTCTTCTTTCTTTCTTTCTTTCTTTCTTTCTTTCTTTCTTTCTTTTCTTTCCTCCTTCCCTCCTTCCTTCCTTCCTTCCTTCCTCTTCCTCTCACTTCTCTTTCTTCCTTCTCTTTCTTTCCTTTAAGCTCGCTTTTTCCTTCTCTTCCTCCACGCCCCCCAATAAGCAAGAAATGGACCCAATTTATTCTGCTTAACCAGACCAAAGAGCCATCTTTCTTTCTTACCTCCACTTCAACCTTCGTAAAGACCTGGCACAAAGTCAGCACTAAGGCCTGCTTGCTGAAAAAGAAAGGAAGGAAATATTTTTAACAAGTTGCTCTGAAGCATTCAGCATTCGGAGGAGGGGGAGGAAGAGAGAGATGGAGGAGGAGGAGGAGGAGGAGGAGGAGGAGGAGAATCACCTGCTCCATCATTATCATTACCAACTGCCACCACAAACCCCTTGATCTGTGTAATTATTTTCAGAAGGCAACAAAGCTCAAAACGGTTGCATTCAGCTAATTCAGCCAAACATGAATAAGTCTGTAGAAAGTACATTTCTGTTCAAAAGATTCGACTTACAAGCTGTATCCTTGCCAGGTCCATGTCACAGTATCCTGGAGGAATTAAATGACAGGGAATAAAAGAGAGAGGATTGATTAGACAATAAGAAGACATGATCACAAAATGAATCAAGGCTGGGAAGTAAAGATTTTTCAATAGCAATAAAGGTAGCCACAAACAGCTTTTGAAGGTCCACACCAAATTTAAGGGCAGAAAACTTGGGTGGCCAACTTTGCAGAATTATTCAAGGGACAAAGAAATTCTTTAACACCTTTTTTTTTTTGCAGACAAGACTATTTCAGTAACAACAACAGATGCGTTGCTGATGTATCTATCAGTGATTGAATTTTAATATCAGGAGATTAGCAATCACTGCGGAAGCAATAACAGCATGAAAGGCATTCACACAAACATACTTTTGACTTCATTGTCCACAGTGAAGTCATTTCATTTCACGTTGCATCACTAAGTAAGTCAAAAACCCCACACTGAATGTCTCCAAAATTCTCTGATCCCTTGAAATAAATTTAGTGCAAAACAATATACATTTTAAGGGAACCCTCAGCCACTGCAGGTGGGAGAAGGAAGCAGAGCTCTCCTGCATCAAAAACTTTGTGTTTCGGTGGTGTTAGAATTATAATTTAAATCACAGAATCGCCAGTCAGCACAACAGAAGGAAACACTTCCATGCGGTGTCCTCGCAAGCAACAAAATTTAATTATTCTTTCAGTGGTGGGTCTTTGAAAGGGGCAAACACAATTTCTCAACTGAACTTGACATTTTATTTTATCTTAGACTTAGACTGATGATCCTAATGGAGCCTGCCCATCACGGTCTTAAAGTTGTGAGGGTTGCAAAACGGGTCAGCCACATGACTAACTCAAATTTTACAACCAATTTTGTGGCAGTCCTTAAGTGAACACCGCAGCCGTTAAGCAAACCAATGATCCTGTATGGGTATGGTTTTGCTGAAAATTGAAAGAGCTGATTTCAGGTAAAATTCCCATCAAACACAGTCACGTGAGCAACGGACACTTCAAACAGCATCCATAAACACAGTTGTGTTGCCGAGTGCTTGAGGTTGGACACGTGAATCTTGGGTCAGAGCAGCCCAAGGTACAGCAAATAAACAGTACAGTCACCATGTGCTTTACTGCTCAACTATATTACTGCAACAGAAAACAGGAAACTCTAACAAATCCATTGCAACTTTGAACGGTTGCTAAGCAATTGGTCGTAAATCAAGGACTACCTGCACATTTGAGCTAATTTCCCCGGTGACCAAAGTGTGCAAAGGAATTTCAAGAGAGAATCTCCTTCTGTCTGAATTCAAAACTTACCAGTTTGTTGGGGTAGCGAATAAGCACAGGCTGAACAGGAACCCCAGGAATAAACGCTCCTGAAAATAAAAGCGTCTTTAACTTGGGAACTCCAGCAGTCACAGAAAGTAAATAATATCTATTTATCTCAGAATAAAACAAACATGACAAAAAGTTCCCCAATGCTCACAAAGGAGGCATTTTTTATTTGACCCAGCCCCTCATTTTCTCTCTTTCCCTTGTGGCATCCTGTTAGAAATTCTTATATAAAGCACCACATAGAGCAAACAAGGAGTACAATCACCATGTGCTTTACTGCTCAACTACATTGCTGCAACAGAAAAACAGGAAACTCTAACACATCCCTAACAAACTTTGAAATGTCTGACATACATCCTGAACTATTCCTTCTGGTTTTCCAAAATAAGTCACCCAGCAAAGCCTTCCTCACCTTGTTTAAAAGTGATCAAACACGATCGGTTTGTGCATGTCCCTTCTGGGAAAATCATTACCTGGAATGCAGGGGAGAGAGAGAAAGAAAGAAAGAAAGAAAGAAAGAAAGAAAGAAAGAAAGAAAGAAAGAAAGAAAGAAAGAAAGAAAGAAAATAAATCAGAAAAACAGAGATATCATTCATGTTTAATTATTCTGCAAATTTGGCCTGATTGAGTGATAATTCCTCAGATTCTTTCCCTCTCTTCTCATATTTAAGCTTCAGCTTCAGTATCTGTCCTTCCAGAGAAGAGTCAGGTCCCCTGCTTGACCACCTTAATTCCACCATGCAAAGTGTAAAAAGCACCCGAAGGCTGGACAAGAAACAATGGATGGAAACTAATCAAGGACAGAAGCAACATGGAACTAAGGAGAAACTTCCTAAAAGTGTGAATGTTTCATCAGTGGGAAGCCTTGCCTTCAGAAGTTGTGGGTGCTCCATCCCTGGAGCTTTTAAGAAGAGACTGGACAGACACTTGTCTGAAATGCTTGAGCAGGGGGTTAGACTAGAAGACCTCCAAGGTCCCTTCCAACTCTGTTATTCTGAATGCAATGCCAGCCATGATTCAAGACCCATTTGTTTTGCTTCCCCCACCCCCACGCTAAACTTGTCTTGTTTTTGCAAACGGGATGGAAGAAACACAAAGGCAATGCAAGCTTAGGGGAAACCAAACGGGCAGATTCAGCTAAACCCAGCCAGGGAGGATTTGAAACAACGCCACAACCTATTTCTTCCCCAAGAAAAAAACAGTTCAGCTATTTTCTGCAGGAAAGCAAACTTTCCTTCCCCTGAAGCTTTCCGAAGCTCCTGAGAATATGAAGAGTGGCTGAGCTAAAGAAATGGGCCGTGGTACCTGAGGCCATTGTTCTTCTGAGGTTGCCCGTTTCGTTATTTCGTGGATAGTATGCTTCCGAGAATCTGGGTCATTCCGTGAGACCAGCACCGGCTGGAGGGCGTCAAGGAACCCTGTTCAAAATAATAACAATAATAATAATAATAATTTGCAAACAAATTAGTGAAGGAAAGGTGTTGGTTTGCTCGAGTTTTGCCAGGGCACTTACGGCCAAAAATGGGCACCCAGACATTCTCTTCCTTGGAGACCACCGAGGGCAGGCCTGCCACGGCACAAACGATGCTGTCGAAAAAGCTCGAGTGCGGAGCTACTGCCAAGATTGGTGCTTGTTGAGGACTAGCGACTTTCCCTTTGACTTTGACGTGGAAGCCCATCGCAAAGAACAAGGCTTGGCCAAAGATGATAAGGCCGATGTTGGATAGCCTCCTTGCAGAAAAATAAAGAGAGAGTTGTTCTTTTATTTGTTCCTAAGCCACCCTTCCTACATTCATCTTCCATCGTTCCAGGGGACTATTTCCCCTACACTGAAGTCAGAAACAGGGACTCGCTTCTTTCAGGTATATAAAAATGAATAGATAAGGTTGTCTGAACGTGGCGGTTTGCTTGCAGACATTTTATTCCTAACTACAGGCTTACAACCATTTGTTGAGCAACCTTCTGTGTCTACGATGGCACTAAAAGAGTGACTGACCGAGAGTCTTCACATTCGCAACTATCGCAGTGTCCTCGCAAATCACAACTCAGGAGCTTGGCAACTAGCCGTTGTGTACAATGGTTGCAGCATGACCAGAGTCACGTGATGACCATTTGTGATCTTCCAGGGTGTGTGTGTGTGTGTGTGTGTGTGTGTGTTTTTCCAACCAGCAAGGTCCATACGGAAAATCAGATTTGCTTAATAACTGCTTGATTCATTAATGACCACGGGTGAAATGGTCATAAAAACAATTGCATGAGGACACGTTTAATGACCTTAGGGATGGAAACTTCGTCCATAATTAAAGGGAAGCAGGTGCAACCCAAAGCCAGTTTGGTCTAGTGGTTAAAGCGAGGGTGGGTGGGCAATTATGGCCCCTTTTTTGACTTGTGGACTTCAACTCCCAGAATTCCTGAGCCAGCCACGCTGGCTCAGGAATTCTGGGAGTTGAAGTCCACAGGTCATAAAGAGGGCCATAACTGCCCACCCCTGGTTTAAGGCATCAGACTAGAAACCAGGAGACGGTGAGTTCTAGTCTCGCCTTAGGCACAAAGCCAGATGGGTGACCTTGGGCCAGTCCTTCTCTCACCGCCCTAGAAAGGAGGCAATGAAAATCACTTGTGAAATTTTGCCAAGAAAACGACAGGGAGAGAACTTATCCAGGAAGTGCCAAGAATCAACACTGACTCAAATGTAAATATGAATTGTATACACATGCACAAAACACACACACACACACAGTATTCATCTATTTCCCCTAACTCTATAAGGCATAGCTCCATGCCAGATTCCTCTCCCCATTTGAACAAAAGCAAATCCTGAAGCTATTTCCGAGATTTACATATGCTTGACTGGCACAATCGACAAATGCTGTTCCCAGCCAGTGAGTCAGTATTTGTCCTACTTATTTATTTGCATCTTTATTGATTTACTTCCAGACCTTTTCATTGCTTGGGGTGTTAGGGGGCAGAGAACAGCCTATCACACTATTACCAAACTATTACCAAACAAAACTTACAACTCAAACAAACCCACAAAGCTACGCACGTACAGTATGAAAAGTATAGAGTTTGCAATAAAACTATAAACGGGGCAGTAAAATTCAGGGCAAATAATAGTCGATATTAGCCCTTGTTTACTAGACTGGGCAGAAAACTACTTATTTAATAAAAACTCTGATGTATTTCGAAGGAAACCAAGATGAGACTCAGCAAGGAAGAATGACCCCCTCTCTCTACGGAGGAAGCATAAAATGGATCACTCAATCTCTTCGGAATAACGTGATGGGAGCCACCACGCTCTGCTAGCCAGGTAAATCTATCGGGTGATCATGTTCCAGAAAGATTGGGTAGAAAATAGCAATGATTAAGCTCACCGAGAAAGCAATGTTCTCTACTCATTATGCCAGTCTAGTCTATTAAAGTCATGTTTGGGGGCTACTGAAGCAGGAAACCTCAAAACTCAGAAACTAAGAAGAAGTCGCCACCTTAGCGTGAAGAGGAACTAAAGAGCTCTTGATGCGGGTGAAGAAGGAGAGTGCAAAGGTTGGCTTGAAATTCAACCTTAAGAAAACCAAGATCATGGCATCCAGCCCTCTCAATTCCTGGCAAATAGATGGGGAAGAAATGGAGGTAGTGACAGTTTTATCTTCCTGGGCTCCAAGATCACCGCAGATGGGGACTGCAGCCAAGAAATTAAAAGACGCTTGCTCCTGGGGAGGAAAGCTATGGCAAATCTAGACAGCATACTAAAAAGCAGAGACGTCACCCTGCCAAAAACGTCAAGGCCATGGTTTTCCCAGTTGCAATGTATAGCTGTGAAAGTTGGACCATAAGAAAGGCTGAGCGCAAAATAATGGTGGCCTTTGAACTATGGTGCTAGAGAAGACTCATGCGAGTTCCCTGGACTGCAAGGCGATCAAACGGGTCGGTCCTAAAGGAGATCAACCCTGACTGCTCTTTAGAAGGCCAGATCCTGAAGTTGAAACTCAAGTATTTTGGCCACCTAATGAGAAGGAAGGACTCACTGGAGAAGGGCCTGATGCTGGGAAAGATTGAGGGCAAGAGAAGAAGGGGACGACAGAGAATGAGGTGGCTGGAGGGAGTCACTGAAGCAGGAGGCGTGAGTTTAAATGGACTCCAGAAGATGGTAGAGGACAGGAAGGCCTGGAGGAACGTTGTCCATGAGGTCGCGATGGGTTGGACATGACTTCGCAACTAACAACTGCTTTTTCCACCCTGCCATTATTTTATGATCCATGTAGAAGATCCCTTTTTCTATATCGAACTTTCCATTTACAAAAGTGAAAAACTCTCCTGGGTTTTTACATAGGGAAGCCGAGTCCTGTAAAGGTAAGTCCTCAACTTATGATGTTAACGGAGCTCAGAATTTTCTGTCATAACTCGTGACAATCCTAAATCAAGGCACCCAGGTGAGCGATACAATTTTACCACCTTTTTTTTGGTGGCAGTCATAAAGCAAACGACGGAGTCATAAAATGAATCCATGTATTTCCATGGAGGTGTTTGTTTGGTGTTTTTTTGCTGGAAAACAGACAAAATGGCCAACTTCCAGCACAGAAAAATCCTAAGTAGCGTGAAGTGTCTGCAGAATATTGTAACCGGTCATAAAGATGAGCTGGTTGTCAAGTACCCAAAATGCGAGCATGTGACCATCAGCGGGGCGGGTGGGTGTACAGTTGTCAGAACTCCAGAACTGAATCATAAGTATCTTTGGGGGGGGGAATACTCTGCCGTAATTTTGAAGTGTCACTAAGTGATCAGTCGTTATGATGCTATTTTAACACCATAACAGCACATGTCAGCTAATGCTGAAATACACATCTTCCAATTTTAAAACAGGAAGTTTAGAGTCATATGGATTCATTCATTGTTAGGTTTATAGAATATCATACAAGGAATGGTATTTCTTGCATTAATATTTATGTATCATTGCAAGAGATCACTTAACAAAGTTAAAAGAAATGGGTGGATAGACAAAAATAGAGCATTTTGGGACAGATTTCTGAATACTGAAAAAAAATAAAGATAGTTATCAAATAAACATTGTTATCACTGACACCATAACAGCACGTGTCAGCTAACATTGAGACACACGTCTTCCAATCTTAAAACAGGAAGCTTAGAGTCATATAGATTCATTTTTCAGAAGGAAAAGAAAAAGAAAGCATTGCAATCCTTCAGTTCTGTTTGCTATAAACAGGGCAAAATGAAGTCCAACATTGCATATTTGTGAGCTTTTAATCCAGGGTTGCTCCAAAATGTTGGAATTGGTCCACATTTCTCATTACCTGTAGGCCTCTGAGCATCATTGGGTTCCTAAGCTACATTTACAAATACAAACAGGAGGTGATTTATGTAGAGTCAACTTTAATTTCATGGCAGAATGAAAATTAAGATGTTGCTGATAATAAATGATCCAGGAAAACTGCAGACGTTATCTAAATTGTTTCACGTTCTGTGCTCTTTTATGATCAGGCGATGCCTCCATGAAAAAAAAAATAATAGTCTTTAGATATTTCCCATATTACCTTTTCCATCCTCGAAGTGGCACCGAGCCTTTTTCCGTGGCACGGGATGTCGCCAGAAGTACAAAAGGCCATGCCAGGACCACCAGGAGCAGGATGAACACAATGCGTAGAGGAAGGAGAATAAGGCCCAAGAAGAATGCCTGGGAAAGAGGGGACAATGTTAAAGAGACATCTGGGCAACTTCTGGAATTCTTAAGAAAAATTAAGTCTCGAGTTAAATTTGAGCTTCGAGGAACAATCTCAGCTGAACCACTTCCTGCTGATCCAGTGAAAAGATCCAAGTGAGATAAGATCCAAGTGAGATCCAACTTAATTTGATTGTCTTTTGCAAGGCAGAGTAACTTGAGAGTAGGGAGAGTCCTCAAGTTACAACAGTTCATTTAGTGACCATTCAAGAACAGGTCTTCTCTTCTCAAAGCCCCATTGTTTTGCTACCGGTTGGTCCACGCAGGTCAATATTCCCAATAATACTGTATACTCTGTACATCTTAAGGTAGAGTTTCTCAACGGTGGCAAATTTAAGGGGCAAGGACTTCAACTCCCAGAACCCTCTAGCCTCCATGCTGGCTAGAACAGGGGACCCAAACCCCCCAGTCTGTGGACCAGCACCGGTCCACAGCATATCAACAAGCGGCCTGCCCAAACAAGCAAAGCTCCATTCTTGGGATGCAGGCAGTATTCAAAATCACACCCACTATGGTCCATGGAAAAACCTTTCTCCATGGCACGGGTCCCTGGTGCCCAGAAGGTTGGGGACCTCAGGGCTAGAGGATTCTGGGAGTTGAAGTCCAAACAGCTGTTGTAAGGGTTGAGTTCACAGCTGAGGCAAACCACTAGATTTGGTTTTTCTTCAGATGGAAGAGCAAGCTTTTGTATTTCATGATGCTTATTTCTTTCAGCAAGAAGCAGTCAGCACATTCACGCAAACCCGACATCCCAAGAGAATAAAAGTCCATGCTCAGTGTTCTTTTAGCCAACATCTGTTCCCAGCATTACTTGCTACAAGTTCTTTTTGAGACATCGTTCAAACAAGCAAAGGAGAGCAACAAAGATGACTACGGGACTGGAAGCTAAAATGTATGAATGATTGCTAGAGGTGGGTAGTTTAATGAAAAGAAGGACTAGACGTGACATGATAGCAGTCATCTAATATCTGAGGGGTTGCCACAAAGAGGAGGGGGTCAACTTATTCTCCAAAGCACCAGAAGGCAGGACAAGAAGCAATGGGTGGAAACTAATCAAGGAGAGAAGCAACCTAGAACTAAGGAGAAATGTCCTAACAGTGAGAACAATTAACTAATGGAACTGCTTGCCTCCAGAAGTTATGGGTGCTCCAACACTGGAGGTTTTTAAGAAGAGATTGAACAACCATTTATCTGAAATGGTATAGGGTTTCCTGCTTGAGCAGGGGGTTAGACTAGAAGACCTCAAAGATCCCTTCCAACTCTGTTATTCTGTTAAACTCACCACGTCCAGCCATCTTTCTAATATTCTATTTAGGGTTGTCTTCCCAAAACCTATTTTATCTTGTTTACTGGATTAAAGCAGGATATTATGCACTGGATCATAAAATAACTTGAAAAATGAGATAATAAAAAAGTGAGATAATAAAAGCCCAGTCCAGCACAATACCAACAAAGAGGAAAAATAACAGCTCTCAAAAGAAACCAGCATGGCTGCATAAAGAACTCTCTGATAAATTGAAAGATAAAAAAGACAAGTATAGAAAGTGGAAAGAGGGGCACATAACTAAGTCAGAATATCAGCAAATAGCCCAAGCCTGCAGAGATGAAGTGAGGAAAGCTAAGGCTCAAAATGAACTAAGGCTTGCGACCAAAATCAAAAATAACAAAAAAAGCTTCTTTCAACATGTAAAAAACAAGAAAAAAGTGAAGGAAATGATTGGTCCATTAGTGGGTGAAAGTGGCAAGAAGGTGACAAGCAACAGGGAGAAAGCAGAACTATTTAACTTGTTTTTTGCATCTGTCTTTACACAAAGGGAAAAAACAGACCAACCTACCAAAATGGAAATGCAAGTTAAGATAGGCAAGAAAACGGTAAGTGAGCACCTGTCCAGCCTAGACAAGTTCAAATCACCAGGACCAGATGGATTACACCCCAGGGTTCTCAAGGAACTGGCAGATGTGATCTCAGAACCATTTTATTATATTTTTCAAAGATCCTGGAGCACTGGAGAACTACCGGAGGATTGGAAAAGAGCTGATGTAGTTCCCATCTTCAAAAAAGGGAAAAAAATGGACCCAGGAAATTACAGACCTATCAGCCTGACCTCAATACCTGGGAATATTTTGGAAAAGATAATCAAACAACGAATCAGCGAACACCTAGAGGCAAATAAAGTCATTACTAAAATCCAACATGGGTTGGTCAAAAACAGATCATGCCAGACAAATCTTATTGCATTCTTTGACCAGGTGACAAAATTAGTGGATCAGAGGAATGCTGTGGATATAATTTACTTGGACTTCAGTAAGGCATTTGATAAAGTAGATCACAACCTACTACTTGATAAGATAGAAAAATATGGGTTAGACAGCATCACCACCAGATGGATCCGTAGCTGGCTGACCGGCCGTACTCAGCGTGTGGTCCTCAATGGAACCGCATCTACATGGAGGGAAGTGTGTAGTGGGGTGCCCCAGGGCTCTGTTCTGGGCCCAGTGCTCTTCAACATCTTCATCAACGATTTGGACGAGGGGATAGATGGGGAAATCATCAAATTTGCAGACGACACCAAGCTGGCAGGAATAACCAACACTCCAGAAGACAGTCTTAGGATACAGGAGGATCTGGACAGACTTGAACACTGGGCACTATCTAACAAAATGAAATTCAATGGTGAAAAAAGTAAGATTCTACATTTAGGCAAGAAAAACCAAATGTACAGGTATAGTATAGGGGGTACCTTGCTCAATAGTAGTAACTGTGAGAGGGACCTTGGAGTCCTAGTGGACAATCATTTAAATATGAGCCAGCCGTGTGCTGCAGCTGCCAAAAAGGCCAACACAGTGCTGGGTTGCATTAACAGAGGGATAGAATCAAGATCACGTGAAGTATTAATACCACTTTACAATGCCTTGGTAAGGCCACACTTGGAATACTGCATGCAGTTTTGGTCACCATGATGTAAAAAAGATGTTGAGACTCTAGAAAGAGTACAGAGAAGAGCAACAAAGATGATCAGGGGACTGGAGGCTAAAACATATAAGGAACGATTGCTGGAATTGGGTATGTCTAGTCTAATGAAGAGAAGGACGAGGGGGGACTTGATAGCAGTATTCCAATATCTCAGGGGCTGCCCCAAAGAAGAGGGAGTCAAGCTATTCTCCAAGGCACCTGAAGGCAGGACAAGAAGCAACGGATGGAAACTAATCAAGGAGAGAAGCAACCTAGAACTAAGGAGAAACTTCCTGACAGTGAGAACAATTAACCAGTGGAACGACCTGCCTCCAGAAGCGGTGAATGCTCCAACATTGGAAGTTTTTAAGAAGAGACTGGACAGCCATTTGTCTGAAATGGTATAGGGTTTCCTGCCTGAGCAGGGGGTTGGACTAGATGACCTCCAAGGTCCCTTCCAACTTTATTATTATTATTATTATTATTATTATTATTATTATTATTATTATTATTATTATTATTA